ACAAAATCGTAAGATTCATCCTGGGGCGGGGACCAAGAGAACATGTAGGCCAGGATGAATTACAGCAGTTGATATGCTGAATGTTGAAGACAGAGTAAAACAACTGAAGCATAAATCATGTTTATAAAATTGCTCACAAACAGTGTCCAGAATATCTTGCTGTCAATTTTGTCAAGGTTGGGAACCAAAGCAATCATAGTACTAGGGGGAGAGAGCACAACTTTGTAGTACCCACAGTCATTGGCCAGGCTTCAAACACCTTTTGTTGTACAGCAATAAAGGAATGGAACAGACTACCCGCACATGTCAAAGCCAGTCATAGCATGAACCAGTTCAAGAAGAGTGCCAAAAGGTGTCTGATAAATGTAGCTACAGAAAGGGAGGGGAATGATTTTCTATTTTTTAGCTAACACGTGTAAATTTTACCTTATTTCTAGTAATGACCCTCGTATTGTAGATAGTCTTAATGACCCTCGTGTAGTAGATAGTCTTTTTAGTATGATAATAAGATGTTATCTTCATTATAGAATAATAAGAAAATAGTATAACCTTTATATTATAATAATAAGGTAAAAGGACCCCAATGGAAATAAGTCACCCTGTCTGACTTTTTTGGGTTATCCTAGGTTCTCTACACATATGCTGCTATGTATGATAATTCTATGTAACTGTATTTGTGTATACCTGAATAAACTTACTTACTTACACCTGGTGCACAAAAACCACCACCACCAACTGTTACACAGCCACCACCACCTGGTGCACAACCACAACCACCACCATCTGGTGCACAACCACCACCTGGTTCACTACCACCAACTGGTGTACAACCACCACCACCAACTAGTACAGAACCACCTGGTGCACAACCACCACCACAAATCCAGCAACCACCATCAGACTGTATCTGGGATTGGCAGAAAGATGCAATATTAATGCAAAATTCTGGATAGGTTTAGATTTAAAAAGGATGTAGAAAAGTACTGGTTTGGAACTAGAGTTGTTATTGAGTAGAACAGTCTGCCAAGTAAGGCGATTGAAACTATAAAATTATGTAGCTAATTTTAACAATAGGTTAGACAAATACACGAGAGAAAAGGGTTGGTTCTGTGTGGGTTCATCGAATTTTCAACCTTGGATATCTTTAAGAATGAGTTGTACAAATACATGAGTGAGAACGGGACTGGTGGCAAAAGCTCTCACTTCACATGGTGAGGGCTTTTCAAAAATACAAAACCACCCAATACATTAGTAAAAAAATGTCAAACTGCATGCAATGTTAGTTATTGTTTGACTATCTGAGAAAAGTCGGACTATATTTTAGAATACAAAGATTGTCTGATCATAACTTATACAGCTTAAATTACCTTTACTCCATCCACAATATATCTTTTTTCTGCATCACTAAGGTTTACATCTACCATGTTTGTACTTAGTGTAAAATAGCGTGTCACAAAATACGAGTTGCAGAAAAGAAACTATTGTTGATGGTTGTTAAGGGCCACCAGGAAAGGTTGCTGGTCTCCCAGTCTTGCCACTTCCCACAAATGAGTAAAAATTTTCCCACAAAATTCCCACAAATAATGTGTAAATTACACATAACAGCAATTACAGAATGTATTCTAAGTTTATGATTACAAGATGTAAAACAAAGATAAAATGCTTGAAAACAAAATTCACTCTGCCATATGCCATGAGCAAAATATATTAAGTTCAGTGTGCTACAGTAACAGTCTACAGTGGCATAAAAAAAAATATAGTATATTTTCAAGCAAAATATTAAATGTGAGGCAAAATGGAAAAAACATAGGCTGGGGTTTTTCCCTTTTGGCTGGGGCCACCCCTGGGGCATGATGGCTAAAACTCTCTTTCCCCCGGTTCAAATTCCCGGCGGGGTTTGGGAATAAGTAACTTTTTTCGGGTATAATAATTTAATATCTTTATTTAAAAACAAGTACATTTTACAGGGTTTCGGGCCTATTGTAAAATTTGACATACAAACTTTTTTTTTAAAATACACTCCCTAACAAAATACTCCATTTACTGAATGTACTTCAATGCATGAAACCCAAATATGACCTGTCTTTGTAATCCTCTTTTTGTGCTTTATTGTTTCTGTTTACAATAATGTTTTATCACTGATTAACATTGCTTAGTTAATCTTAATTTAATTTTTAAGCCAGCCCTTTAATGTTTTGCATAAAAGGGCTTTGGATGTGTTTCCCTGTATTTTTTGTCCCTCTGATGTATGTTAAAATTTAAAAAAATAAAAAAAAAAAAAAAAACGGGAAAGGGCTGCTTGTTAGCTCAGCATGCGGGAAAATTTAGGTAAAGTAAAGAAGGTCCCAGGAGGCGACCAAAAACCAGTCGAAAAACCCCCGGGGGTAAAAAAAACCAAACCCCCGGGCCCGGGTTTAAAACCCGGGGTTTAATGAGTTCTATGACCGCGGGTTCAATCCCGGCCGGGGGTTTAGGGTTTTTGTTTGAAATCGTGCATTACGTTTTCTCAAAGCCCCCCCAGGTTCCCAACTTTTATGATGGGGAACATAGAAAAGGGGGGAAAAGAAACACGCCCAATGTTTCTACTCTGGGGGGGAAATTTCCGAACCCAGACCCTCAGTTACATAGAAAATCTACAAAAAAGAGAGAAAAGATAAGATTTCGTTCGGTTTTTTTAACCCCCGGGAGGGGTTTTGCCCCCAGGATAAACCCCCAAAAAAGTCAGTGCGTCATCGGGATGTCTAACTTATTTCCATTTTGGGGGCCCTTTAAACTTGTCCCCCCGGAAAGCGGGCCCACACCCCCCAAATAACCCCCGGTTTAATATTTGCTGGGTAGGTGAACCGGAAAACAGGGGTAAGGAAAAGTTTTCGGAATGTTTCCACCCCCCGGGAAACGAAACCCGGGGGTCCCTGTGTGGAAAACGGGGGGTTTTTGCCACCAGGGGCCCCCGGGCCACCCAAAAAGGGATATGTGTTGAGAACCCAGGTAACCCCCAAAAAACAGACAAAAGGCCCCATATTTCCATGGGAAAAATCGGGGGTTTTTGTTCACCCCGGTTTTTTCTTTTGTTTTAAACCCTCTGGGATAAAAAGGGTCCCGGGTGTTAGTCGACTGGTTTTGGGGTCGGGACCTGGGAAAAAACTGGCCTTAATTTTCTCGAAAAGCTTGCATAAAAAGGTGCTTTCATAAGTTGTAAAGTTTATTTATTTTCAGCTACGGGTGTTTTTATTTTAACCCTGTACTTGTGGGAAAAAAAAAATTTATTTTTATTATTATTATTATTTATTATTATTATTATTTTTTTTTATTATAAAATTTGTTTTGGGCAGGTAGTGTTTAAAGAAAAATAAATAGTTTTAGCGGTAGTTTGATTTTTAAAATTTTTTTGGGTTAAAAAGGGAGTGCATACCCCGGGGTTTTCTTAGGAAAAGGGTTCTTGGGTTTAAAGCCCCGGGTGTCCCGGGGCTGTGCCAAAGGCCCCATGGGGGGATCAGGGCCGGGTCAACCGGGGGTTTTCTGTTTGGCCCCCACGCAAAAACGGGCGTTAAGGGAAACCCCCGCCCGGTGGTAGTACGGGCTTTAGGTGCCCTGGGCAGGCGTTCTTAAGGAAAAGTCGGGGTTTATTTGTAATCCCCCTTTGTTGTTTGGGGGGCAGTTTTAACAGTCTTGGGTCCCTCACACTTACGTGTTTTTCTCTTATTTACTTTGGTTTCCCCCGCTTTTCTGTGAAAAAATTTTTTTTGGGGCTGCCCCCAAATTTAGGGCGCCCACCCTGGCAAGCTCTGTTGCACCGAGCTCTGGGGGTCGGTTTCCTCAGCCTCACAAGTGGCTTATAGGACATATTTTCTAAATTTATGATGTTGCCAAGGA